CCCGCGCTGCCGCACAGCCAGCCACACGCATAACCATAGCCAAACTCACTACTTGTCGACACTATTTTACTTCTGTACCGTCGTTCGTTCGTTCTATACCGTCGAATGCGTGTTCTGCTGAAAGAACTTGGTAGCGACGCAAGTTCTACACATGGATGGTGCTAGCGGAGTACAGAGACGGCACCCAGGTATCACTATCATCGAGCCCCGTTTTCGTGCACTTCTAAGCGGAGAAAATGGCTCGCTACTGCCCGGACCCTTTCATCTCACACATGAACGGCGCCATCCGTGGCGGTTAGGGTACGGTTTGTCTTCAAATAGGAAAGAAACAGAGACAAGCACTGACTTTTTCTTCCAGTGGTTGTCAGTTCGCTAGTGAAAACATCTAGTACTCTGACGCAAATCCCTGAAAGTCGTTTGGTCAACAATATGTAGGGTGAGGTGAATATGTGACTCCACTGCGGACTGGAGGTTTTTGTCTCATTCATTCCCGAATCTTCCTTCATGATTCATAGCTCGTTCTCACAATGATTGTTCAATGATGTTACGATCAAGCGACTGACTCTGCCATTTCCTCGAAGGTGCTTGATGCTCTTTGAACCATTTTTGCATAGCGTGGTGCTCTAGGTGGGTTCTTGCTTGACTTAGGTATGTGTCGTGGATTCAGGATGCATGTCTGTTCTAATCCCCTGATGTCTGTTCTAATCGCGCCTTGAATCCTTGAAGCCATTGAAAATGTTTCGTTTCTCCCTAATAAGCCTTGAATATTATGAGGGAGCCTCGGCCGTGTACCATGGAGCCAGCTATATTCTTGACAACGTCAGTGCTAAACGTCGGTTGTAGGTTGGTTGTGGAGCAGGAATCGCAGTGAAACTGCCATTCCAACCCGTCCCGGTGCGGGACCTTGGGACTCGTGCTTCTTTCTTACTTGTGGCCCTGCGAGATATTATTCTTTATTCAGTCGCTTGTCCAAAATTTCTGTGCAGACCGCTCCGCATGGTTTATATCAGACCACAAATCGTCGTTCGCCATACAAAAATTTGAAAAAGACTGCAACATTTAGATGAGTGGCGTCTTACCGCGTACTTTCAAATTTCGTGGTTCTGGGAAAAGCCGCTATCCTGACCGTAGACGCTGTAGTCTGTAGAACCTACGTGGTAATACTACTAGTCGGATTTCTGTAATCTGTAGGACCTGCGTGGAGTACTAATAATGGGACCTTCAGGCAGTGGCTCAACTCTCGTCAGAGCCAGTACATTAACCTAGTAACTTCTGTTATGCAGTTATCGTAAAACAAAGTCCCCTGCCCCTGGAATAGCGAGTGCATCTGTATGCTAGTTTGTTATTTTGGGCAGACATCAGGAGACAATCATAGTAACATCGTCCATTTATCTGAATGAATTATGCTACCACAAAGTGATTACTTGATGAACACAGCATGAATTGGCTGACCATCTCCAAACAGCATTTGTGACTGTATGCAAAAGACTTTCCAGATCGACTACAGGGGCAGGACTTTTCGAAGTCGATCATCA